GGAGTAGTCCAGTAGTTGAAAGAGGATTGTTTGACCATAGATTTCAATGAAGTCCACCTTATGCACCAACAGGTAGGGGCACTGATGAGAACCGACTACAGAGGTTAGCTTAACATTGATAGCAGACGTACTTAGCGCCAAGAGCACTCTTCACCTTCACCGTGGGTCAAGAAGACCAAATTGGATCCGGCGTTATCCGCTGTCTCCAATGCAAGCCAGAAAGCACCGCCCGAATTATTTTTAGCTGATAGTAGACTTTGCGCTGGTATTAACGTACTATCTACCCTCACTCACCAGGCTCATGGCGGCCGAGACTCACACGGCTGCTACTTCCTAACAATGTAGCTGAGTGTTAGTAGAACTAGTATTATTTCTGACCTTAGTATTTGTCCGAGGTGACGCGGATTAAAAATACGGCTGGGGCTCATACCCCCCTGATCTGAGTAAGGAGTGTGAATCTGGATTTGGCTACACGTTCGAGGCTAGAAGCACCTCAGGGCTCTACTTGGTTTCCGCCCTCTCAACTCTATCCACCAAGCTATGTCGTCGTATTGGTTAACGAAAATTTATTAGGTAATGGTTCAATTTTTACACTGACTTCATGTAGCGTGGGGCCATTTACCAAGTTCAGGCGAACTTTTGACATATTGAAGTAGCTAACTCTATCTTGAGGTTTTAGTGGACGTCTCCTGTCTAACAAGAGAGAAATCTGTCCTATAATCAACGAACCTTACTACATCCTATAAATGTGTCATTTTTTGAGCAATAAGCAATTAGCAGAGCAGATGGGAAGTTGAGGTATGGTGCAGGTGGTATTTGTGATAGTTTTAATACTAAAGAAAATTTATTCGCTAATAGCTCAAACTTTACCATGCATTAATGTCGCAACGTAGTGCGATTTGCCTGTTAATTACTACTGACTATAGCTTGCGATAGGAACAAACCAATAATAAATGCTGTGTAGCTAATACAACTGCTTATACGGTTTATACTACTAATAACTAACTGGCAAATGCAGCCGAATGTTAAAAGTACTGGCACTATAACCGACGCTCATACTAGTAGTGTCTACGTGGGGTATGGTTCCGAATTTAGTATAGACCGGATGGAGCTGAGTAGCAGTAGTGGCGCTAAGGCAACTCTTCCAGAATTACAGCGGTCCATTCTAGTGGCAAGGTCATCTTACTACTACTGCTGCGAATCGTGCTGTCACTGTATTGTTGATGCCACTAGGTTTAGATACTGATCTTACTAGTAGTCGCAGCCTTTTGGTATTTAAAGTGATATTTTGAGAGTAAAAGTGCCCTTTAGATAGAAATAGTAAAGACTGTAAAGTGAAAGCACATCACAAATATGGTAGTAAATGAAAACCGTATGACAATACAGTAGCAACCAGATATAGTAAGACATCAGAACAGTCCAATATAGTGGAGCAGGAATGGTGTGTAACGTGCATTCATCCGTTCAGTCCTTCTCTACGTATGTGAATGCCAAGCGTTACGCACTGAAAAAGAACGAACACTGGAGGCCCTTGATTACCGCTGCCTTAGGACCATCACATGAGTTAAGTATACCGACGTCATCTTGAATGAGACAGTGCTCACTCGCTGCGATCGTATCGCGAGGATATCTCAGGTCATTCAAGAAAGGCGATTGAGGTGGTTTGGGCACGTTCTCCGTCGTCCGCCCTCGAGCTTGCTATGCTACCCACGATCGGTCGCCGCAGCTCAACTGGGGGCATCGATGAAGAGAGCACCTGAAGACTTGGCTTGACATCGTTTGTCAAGCCATGGAAGCAGTTCTTGGACCTCATAACTTCGGTCTCCGTCTCTGGAGAAGAGCTTGTGTGGAGCTTTCCAGATTCGCTGTCGCCATTTGTCACGCACAGAGGGGTACCGTCCGTGACATAATTGAGGCCGGTTATATCAGGCATGATCACAGCCGTAACCAGTACTTGTAAGTACAAGAATGGGGCAATATTACTGATTATGGCAATACTAACGATTTTAGTTTGTATAGTCAAGAGCGAACTGCTACCGTCTTAGGTCTAACGAGCAACTAAATATAAAGGCAAGAAATCGGCACCAGATAGGGATGACAGTGGAGACTGGCGCCTGGGTGACTGGGGCCTGAGAACAATGACTCGAGCGGCTCGCGTCTCACGCGGTTATCACCTCTTGCTAGGAGTTCGGTCTTGTTAAACTTGAAAATATGGCCGGGTCAGGTCAAGTGAGCTGCAACCTGGGAGTTGGCATCCTTCTTTCCCACCGCCGCTACGTACTCGGCCCTTCGTGTTCGGAGTAATCTCCCGGT